AGTACTCACTCGGCGCTCACCTCCGTGCCATGCACCTGTAGGTGCTCCTGCGACAGCACGGCCGCGACTGCTTCCGCAAGGAACGGTGTGGAGTCGCACCTGTAGGTGCTCCTGCGACAGCACGGCCGCGACTACTTCCGCAAGGAACGGTGTGGAGTCGACGTCTGCTACCAGCCCGCCACCGGTGCACTCGAGGGGGCGCTAGTGGCGCGTGAGGAGCGCAACGATTGCTGCCTCACGGCGCAGCACTTCGTGCCAGACGTCGACTCAGGGCGACTTTAGATCCACCATCACCAGCCCTCCCCATCCCTCCCGCCATCACCATCTCCATCGCACCTTAGGAGCTTCTCCATACGAACAAAGACGCTTCAGTCCAGCGACGACGCGTTGATGCCCTACAACCCCTATTGCGCGGATTCAGTTGACATCCCGGCAGGGTATCAGCCGATCCTGACGTGAGGCCCAGCCCTCAGCATGCCCATGCGCCACGATTCCGTGGCCCTTCCACCATCGCGCTCACTCTGCCCGTCCCTCCGGCCCATAGATCTGCTCTCGGCGAAGCAATCAACACTGTGACTGACTACGAGCAGTGCCCAGAGGCGGAGGACGCTCACCACCACTCTCAGCAGCAAGGGCACGTCAGGGGGTGTCCGCTCAAAGCCTCGCTCTGCCACAACTTCACGTGCGTCCAGCCCAGCTGCAAATTGGCACAAAAGTACTGCCACAGCAGTTCGTCCGCTGGCGTGCGCGCCCGCCAGCTCTGCCCTATCACCTGCGGGTGCGACGATCCTTTGAGTCCCCTCGCGCTGTTTGCTTCGAACAACGGCTGTCCGTCGACATGCCTCCAGTCGGGTGCTTACCTCAAACGCATTGCCCGCATGCCATGTGAGGACGCCGCGCGCGATGACCCCCAGTTCAACGCCTTTCTCGACAGCTGGGACGAGGCGCGGCTGAGCTGGGCAAGCGACTGGAACTGGACGGCGAGCACTTATGTCGCCGGGTTCCGGTCGCTAGGGTGCGCATACCTTAGCGACGTGGTGGCGGTGCAAGCGAGGGTGGCCGCCGGCGAAGGCGCCTTTACGCCGTATCCCGTTTTCATGAATTTGTGCGTGGCTGGCGCGAGCATCTACCCCCTCAAACC